AGCAAACAGTGATCGATAGGGAATCGATACCTATATTGATTTTTTTCCTTGGTGCTTAAATAATATTTAAAAATTTTTAAACAGAGTTTTTCTAAATATGCAAATTTTTTAAAGTTTGTTACGTCTCATCATCCGTTAGCAAGTACCCAGAAATAAAAACAAAATGGGAATCGATTCTGTTTCGGCGTATATCCGATTCGATTCAAGATGGACAAACCAAATATGTTTCCCAATGATAAAAAGTAAAACACAAGAAAATTAATGAAATTTCAAAATCAGAGAATAAATCTCTTTCTTTATTATTTACCTTTGTAAATGTTAGTTTCAAAAAACTCTTTGCACAAGTGCAGTAGATGGCTTCACTTTGGCTAATAACCAAATCAAACTTATAACTAAATAATGGAGGCAAACAATGTTTAAACACCGTTAGCGGTTTACTCGTTAGTTTTATTATAGTTTTCCATCAAAGATGTAAACTAATGGTAGTAAATCATTAGGATTTACACTTAGAGAAAAATGCCGCAAATAATCGATTTGTACTTAAACATTGCCGGCCCCCTTGCAACACTTAAGGTGTTGTAACTGAACTTACTGAGCCATTAAAGGGCTCGCGACGACTATAGTAATAATAAAATATTTTCCTCAATTCAAAATGAGTCATAAAGGACTCCAAATTTATTTGAAATATATAATAGCCATTAAGAGACTGGTTGAGCCATTACGGGACTCTAGTTGAGCCATAAAGAGACTCTAGTTGAGCCATAAAGAGACTCTGGTTATATTAAGATTTTGAATCTTATTTAGTAAGGCGACAAACCCGTAATGATCCAACCAAAAATGCTATATTGGGCAAGTGGAAGCCCAGGGCTCTGATGAATCCTGTCCCTCAAAATCATTGGTGCAATCTCCGGCCCCAAAACCAACGCTACTTGACCGGAATGATTAAAGGTGGGATCGGCTAACTGGAGACCTTTAAACGGCTCCAGGATCAAATCTGACACTGTGAGAGGAGGTGTTTTTACACGATCCATTTGATATACTCTCGCCAGTACAATAATACGCTGAGTATTCTCAAACCTCGATTCAACTTCGATTCTACAATGTTCCTGATCATTAATCTTTATCTTTGGAATTCTTAGTTTGGCGACTAAATCTGCACAAATATAACTATTCTGGCAGCATAGATCCAGAACAGACCTCACCAAAACTTTATTTCGAGGCAAACACAGGTTAAGTTGTATAGTCGGGGAAAAAGCAACCGCTTGTCGCAATTGTACATCCGCGAATGACGCTGCCTGACGCTCATTGGTTTTTGTAGACTTGGTTTTGGGGTGGAGAAGAAAATGGTGAGCTTCTTTACAAAACTTACATTTTGCTGAACTTTTGCAATTTTTGCTAACATGACCGCTTAATAAACAGCGATAACAAACTTTGTGCAATGCCACTTTGCGAAATCTGAGCTCAAGGTCCATTTTCTCGAATTTACGGCAAAACCTTAACAAATGGTTTTTGCGGCAAATTGGACATCTCGGCTTTTCCCGATTAGGATGCGCTTGCTGATCGACAGGATTCGAACCCGAAGCTTCCACTTGTTCAGGTACAGTAATGGTTGGCGGGGGTACTATAGTTGGTTCTGCAACCACTTCCATAGCAGCTTCTTCTGCTGCGACGGGCCAACCTCTTCTTATTTAATGGTGGAACAACGGACTCCACTTGCATGGTTGGGGAATTCAAGCTTAACGCTGCTACCTTTAAGCTCTCAACAGTTAGACCCTGGGATCCAGTAACTTCATTGGAGTTGTCCTCGTTAAGGAGCTCTTCCTCAGTCAAAACTGTGGTAATTGGCTGTAGTTTTCTAACAGAGTCCATTGTTCTAGGGAAAATAAAAGGTTAGTAGGGAAATATTGACATAAAGTGATAGGTAAGTTAATCTTGCAAAACAACAAGTTTGGTTATCGGTCTTTTAAGTATCCCATTTGACGTCCGAACATCAACTACTCGAACGTGACCATCAGTACCATTATAAACCTGAACTACTCTTCCTATCTTCCATGAAGTAGCAGGTAACTGTTCATTTCGTAAAACAACTAAATCATTGATCGAAACATCTCTTTGGGGATGTTGCCACTTGTACCTTTTATGCAAAGTTGCTAAATATTCCTCTTTCCAACGTTTGCAAATATAGTGAACAAAAGCCTTCACTTTCCTATAACGATTCACAATACTAATTGGTCTGTCAAATATTGTTGGCTCCGGTGGAGCCAGTATTGCGGATCCTATTAAAAAATGACCAGGAGTGAGTGCAGTAAGCTCATTAGGACTATCAGGCATAGGACACAAAGGACGAGAATTCAGACATGCCTCAATCCTAGCCAGGATCGTAGACAATTCCTCAAACGTATATTTACAATTTTGAACTTCTTTCCGAAAATGGAGTTTAAAACTTTTGACTCCAGCTTCCCATAAGCCGCCCATATGAGGGGCGCCAGCTGGTATAAATTTCCATGACAAACTCTCATAACCTATTCTCGAACTCATTCTGGCCTCGCATTCTTTTAAAAAGGTTTGAAAATTCCTAGCTATTTCATTTGACGCTCCAACAAAGTTCGTACCATTATCCGAAAAAATAGTGTGAGGACAACCTCTTCTAGAAATGAATCGATCAAAGGCCGCTAAAACAGCGTCAGTAGATAGGTCTGAAGTCGCTTCTAAATGTATGGCTTTGGTCGAAAAACAGACAAATACACATACATAACCTTTTTTTATTAAACACGAACGACCAGTAAAGTTTTTCACATCGAAAGGACCTGCAAAATCAACTCCAGTGGTTGTAAATGGTCTATCGATTGTGGTACGTTCCGGAGGTAGCGCAGCCATAATTTGACTGTATGAACGTTTTCGATCTATCGTGCAACGTTTACAATGATGAACCACTGTCCGTATCAGGGTTCGCAGTCTAGGGACCCAATACTCAGTTCGATAAACTCTCAACATTAATTGATTTCCACCATGAATCGTCAGCCTATGAACAAACTCCGCTACAAGTTTCGCAAGCCGACACCCGTAAGGTAATATGATGGGATACTGCTCTCGATATGACAACGAAGGTGACCTCACTAATCTACCATTTAATCTCATAACATTTCGCTCATCGAGGAAGGGGTTTAAAGGGATTAAAGAGCTCTTTGATGGTAAAGGTTTCTTATCCACAATACATCTATATTCATTAGCATAATAGGCCTTTTGAGCTACAATAGCTAAACGAAGTTTCACCATTCTAATCTCTTGACAAGAGATTCTACTAGTCTCATAAACAAAACGCCCTTTCCTCGTTGGATGAGTGGCGTTGAAAAATCTGAATATATACGATATAACGCGTAAAGCTCTAGATAGCGAAGAAAATCTTTCTATCACATCCTCAAAACGGGTAAAGAAGGAAGCATTAACTTTCGTCTTTCGAACTTCTAAGTCAGTGTCCATATTATCCAAACTCCGGATTTCCCATTTAGATTGATCCTGACATAACCACGAAGGACCATGCCACCACAATTCATTTCGGGATAAGGTAAGAGGATCTACACCTCTACTACCTAAGTCTGCAGGATTTTCTTCTGAACGCACGTGAAACCAATTGCGGTTGCCAGTGTTCTCTTGGATGCGACAGACCCTATTTGCAACAAATGTTGTCCAAGAATAGGGTGGTTTGCGTAACCAAGCCAATACTATAGTTGAGTCAGTCCAACAATAGATACGCTCAATCGGAATTTGAATGTCCCGAGCAACATTCTTAAGCAATTCCGACGCCAAAACCGCACCACACAATTCAAGGCGAGGCAATGACACAGATTTTAATGGGGCTACTTTGGTCTTGGAAGTTAACAAGCTCGAAGTAATTTCGCCACATGGTGACTTTATACGTATATATAATACTCCGGCATAAGCTTTCTCTGAGGAATCAGAGAATAAATGAAGTTCAGTGACCGAATCTCTATAATAATTAACCCATCTTGGGATTTTAATAAAATTTACTTGGTTAAAGAACTCCACAAATCTTAACCACTCTTTCCTAGTAGAGTTTGTAAGAGAATCGTCCCATCCTATTTTGTCAAGCCAGATACGTTGCATAATTATCTTTGCTATGACAATAACTGGACTTAACCAGCCTACTGGATCAAAAAACTTTGCTATAGTAGATAACACCTCTCTTTTCGTATAAGACGTTTTAATTTCCAAAGGACATACTCTGAAGAAGAATGAATCTAACTGGGCATTCCAAAAAATACCTAAAGTTTTTGAACTACTAGACTCCATGAAAGTTAAAAGCTTTGCGTCAACCAAATGTCCAGGAGGCAAATCCTTTAAAATTGACTTGTCATTCGAAGTCCATTTCCTGAGTTCAAACCCGGCAGCCGATAAAGCCCTAATCAACTGATCCCTGGCTAACAAAGCACTAGACACTTCATGAGCTCCAGATAACACGTCGTCGACGTACATTCCTTCCCTTAAAATCTTCGAAGCCAATGGGAAGGTTTGCTCAGAGTCCTCTGCTAGTTGTAGCAAAGTCCTAATAGCCAAATAAGGAGCGCAATTAATACCAAATGTAACGGTCTGCAGTTCATAATCCACAATCTCTTCATCAGCTGAACTTCTGTAAAGAATTCGCTGGAATGGAGTGTGAGATGAATGGACCCTAATTTGCCTATACATTTTAGAAATGTCACAGTTAAATACAAACTTAAATAGTCGCCATCTCAAAATCAAACTAACCAAATCAGCTTGCAAAGAAGGTCCTACAAATAAACAGTCATTCAAACTTTTACCATTAGAGGTCCTATTCGAAGCGTTAAACACCACTCTAAGTCTTGTGGTATTACTTTCCGGTTTTAAAACTGGAAGATGTGGCAAATAGCAAGAGTAAGTAACGACCTTATTTCCAGTCCCCTTGGGCCTCATGTGATCCAAATCCAGATACTCCTTCAGCACTTCATCGTACATTTTCTTCACATCTGGTTTTCGTGTTTCAACACTCCTGTCCTCGAGATTCCTAAATTAATTTCCTGAGGGAACTCAGGTTTAAAGGGTAATGATACTACATATCTTCCCTCTGAATCACGAAAGGTAGTCTTTCTATAGATTTCCTCACACATTTTATCGGATTGCGATAGCACTTTCCGTCTTGGTGGCTGTTCTAACTCCCAAAATTTTGTGAGATTCTCATTTAAATTATCCTCCTCTGAATGGGTAATCGTAGTGGAGAATACATTGATAGAATCTTTTGGCGAAATGTTAACGGGTCCTGTCAGAACCCAACCAAACACAGTCTTCTGAGCCATTAAACTACCAACTATATTATTCCGAACTTCATTCAATATAATACGTGGATATAGGTCAGCGCCAAGTAATAAATCTACTGCCCTACTTTTGTAAAAGTTACGATCTGCCAGTCTTATATTTGGTAATTCACCTTTTATTTCCGAAGGACAATTGAATGAAGGCAAATTTCCGGAAATAGAAGGTAATACAAAAGCATTAGCTTCCAAATTAAAACCTGCATCTAGTGGGGAACCAACTCGAATAGAGCAACATTTCCTCGAAGTTGTAGAAGCGTCTTTATGAACACCGGAAATCGTAACATTCGTAGAATGTGACGGAAGTCGCAGTTGATTTCGCAAATGTTCCGATATGAAAGAGGCTTCCGAAGCAGGATCAATTAATGCTCTAGCTGGATACGTTGTATCATGACTATGAACCGAAACCATAGCTGTTCCCAATAAAACAGACGAATTTTGTAAAATATGGAAGACTTGGCGATTCGAATTAGTTGGAGCAGTGGCGGAGGTAGAAGCTTCTTGCAAATTTAATTCAGGCGTATTGCCAATTATTGCAACTTTAGAATTATTAGCTATAGGTGGTGAAGCAGAATTACCAACTGGATTCTCACGATGAAGCAAAGTATGATGTCTTTTCCTACAAACGGAACAACTATGTTCGCTCTTGCAATCCCTAACCTCATGGCTTGGTGCAAAACAGTTCACACAACAATGATGTTTCTTTACTACGTTATACCTCTCAGAAACAGACATTTTTTTGAATTGACGGCAAAAACGTAATAAGTGACCCTGTCTATGACAAACTACACACGCATTCTGAGTGCCTGTATTAGAAACATGAGCCTTTACTTTCCGTTCAAAACCTTTTTTATCAACATTGGAACTCGTTAGATCGCGGATGCAATCCAAAGTCTGAATTCTTTCGGACAAAAACATATCCAAATCCTTCCATAAGGATAAGGCCGTTTTGTCCTTGATGCTCTGTTCCCATAATGTCACGGTCTGAGAAGGTAATCTTTGAATACAGATAAAAACTAGAATGGGATCCCAATTTTGAGTGGAAATTTCATAAATTGCCATGGCAGTAATAAAACCATTAATTCCGCGTTGCAACGTTTTCAAAGACGAGCTAGTTTCTTTTGAAATTGTCTCTAACCCAAACAAACCTTTCAACTGATTATTTACTAACATTCGAGGATTTTCATATGTATCCTTCAAGCTTTTCCAAGCGATATCAAAACCTAGGTTAGTCAATGGACATTTAGATACAATCTCTCTTGCCTCCTTATCCGTCCTTTTTACCAAATAACATAACCGCTCTATATTACTAAGGCGACTGTTATTGATATACAATGCGGTAAAAAGATCCCTAAACGTGGGCCAAGATAGGTAATCGCCACTGAAAATGTCCGTGTCACAGGGAGGTAGAGGCAAATTATGACTGACGTTATCATGGTTTGTATCATTATTAATAGTAGGAGACTCTTTAGGTCTCGATCTGGCCTCAAGTTCATCAATTTTTAGTTTTATAAGCTTTGAACAACGCGCATAAATGTTCATGGTGCTATTAAATTTGCTTTCAGCCACTTGGATATCCTCTGGCTCCGCGTCTTCTGATGATTCAAGATCATCAATACACTTATCAAAGGCAATTTTCATTTTCTCCCATAACATCTTCAGTTCGCTGTTCAAAACTTCAAAATAATAAACATGATGCTCCTCTTCGCGAATGGTATGAAAATTAGCCTCAAATTTTATAACCGAATCCGAAAGACGGGTAAAACGTTCGAGAGCTGTCAACGGCATTTTCAAAAAAAGTTTTAATTCGTTTTACTATTGACAATCCTAAATTGTATTCAATAAATTTCAAAGGTCACTGTACTAAGTCAATTCCACCGACCGTAGGGTGACTTTTATGCAATTGCAAAAAGAGAAGAAGAAGCAAAAAATTACAAGATAAATGCTTGCAAACCACACGAAAATAAATAAACGCAAATCTACAAAAAATAAATTAGAGAATGCGTAAATAAACAAATTTACTCTTACGATTATATTGAGAGTTGTTTCCTCTAACGGCTGTGCTTTAGATAGAATTATATTTCTTTTACCTTTTTTCGCTAACACTAGCCGCGACTTGAAGTTTATTTAAACACTTATTTATTTCGAAAGTACTTTATAATCTTATTAATCGAGTGTATATAAAGGAGGAAAAAAAAGAAAAATGCACCGCTTATAACTTTACTCGATATTGTTTATTCTAATTAACTTCTTAATCTTCAATTATCAAAAAAAGCACAAATTTTTAATTTTAATTATGGCTGTCCGTCTTTATAAACAAACACAGCCTTGATAAAAATGGTACCGATCACAAATGTCAAAGGGGTACTGTATAAAATATATTTCCCCAGGGATGTATTTGATAAATTTAATTCACAATAAGAATTAATTCACAGTAATACAAAAAATCCCTTTTTGACACTAACCAACTTGTTGTTTCTTAAGAAATATAAATTTATACTTCGCAAACACACACACAAGTACATATATGTGTATAATTAATTTGTGACTTTATATTTTTCAACAAAACTACCACTTTTAATGCCAAATTCACTAACCTTATTTTTTCCAATTGATGTTGATTCCAATTTAAAGGGCTTTGTATTTCCTTGTCAAGGAGACTTCCTTTGTAAATGGATAAATTTTCCTTGTGTTTAATCCGGTCCGAAGGAACAATGTTTCGGCGTATATCCGATTCGATTCAAGATGGACAAACCAAATAAGTTTCCCAATGATAAAAAGTAAAACACAAGAAAATTAATGAAATTTCAAAATCAGAGAATAAATCTCTTTCTTTATTATTTACCTTTGTAAATGTTAGTTTCAAAAAACTCTTTGCACAAGTGCAGTAGATGGCTTCACTTTGGCTAATAACCAAATCAAACTTATAACTAAATAATGGAGGCAAACAATGTTTAAACACCGTTAGCGGTTTACTCGTTAGTTTTATTATAGTTTTCCATCAAAGATGTAAACTAATGGTAGTAAATCATTAGGATTTACACTTAGAGAAAAATGCCGCAAATAATCGATTTGTACTTAAACAGATTCCTTTATCAATACCTTATCGATCAGCATTGACAATTTTTTGCTCACAGAACATTTAATTTTTTTTTCATATATGTAGAAACTTTTGCGATTTTTATAAAATTTACTGAGTTATGCAAGTACACAGAAAAAAAAATAATTTTGTGATCGATTCGTATCCCGGAAAAAAATCAATATGGGGATCAATTCGTTCATCGATTCTCTATAGATCTCTATTGACTCTTTTGGTGCACACAGAATATTTTAAAATTATTTTGTATTAAAACTTTTTAGCCTTTAGTTAGATTTGCGATTTGTCAAAGTTTGCTACTTCACAACATTCGATAGAAAGTACCCCGGAAAAAAAATCAATATATTGATCGATTCCTTAATTGATTCCCTATCGATCGCTATTAGCTGTTTAGGTGCACACTTTCGTTAGATTTGTGTATTTGTTAAAGTTATTGTTACGTCATAGCATCCAATAGAAAGTACCCCGAGAAAAAACCAAATAGGTATCGATTCCTTAATCGATTCCCTATCGTTCACTATGGGCAGTTTTGGTGCACACCGACTCACAGTGGGGCAGAATCGAAATTTTTTGGAAATAAATCTGGCATTTCTAAACGGCTGATCCGATCGGGATAAAATTTGTCGTGAGCGTAGCCAAGGAGTATTCGAGTTTAAGTTTTGAAGATGAACCCTACAAATGCCCCAGGGACGGCGCTGTGGCGGCTCAAAGTAGGGTACCTACGACATGTAAAATTTTTAAACTCGTGCCATTTTTTTGTTTTTCACCCAAATACAAAGATTTTTATATTTTCTGAAAGCGCTTGAGATCTTAAAAAAACATGCTTGGACATACTACTTATCTCTTATAATATCCGAGTTATAGGCATTTAAAAATTTAGTGATACAAAATTTACCATACCTTGGTCCGTCTTTTTTTGAATACCGGGCGTAATTTTGGACCAAATGGACTCAATTTTTTTGTTAGTTAGACAACAAAATTATCCAATAATATACAAAAAATTTCAGATCAATATCATTTACAGATCCAAAAATATACGTTTTTTAATTTAAAAATTCAAAAAATTTTAGATTTTTGCCGTTTTTTTGCCAAAAATGTGTCTTAACTCTTTTATTAATAAAATAAAATTTTCTTTAAGAACATATAACAATTTTATAGTTTTCTAAAAGGTATCTTTACGCAGAACGCTTTGGCGTAAAAAACTTGTCCTATTTTTTGAAAATGTTGCCACTGCGTCCTTCCGAATATGACCTATTTTTTATCAAAACTTCAACTTTGGGCGACATGTTCTAAAATCCCAAAGCTGGGATCAGAAAACTGAAAGCAGTTTTGGAAACCTCAATATGTTTTCTATTTACTCCAAAAGTATTTTCCCAGCCCTGAAAGAAATGTGGACCCTATAGGCAAAAAAGTAAAAATCCCATTTTTGGGATTTTCATTCCTATTTTTGGGAATTGCGGGATGCCCTTTGACCTTTTCAATTTTTGCATTTTCTTATTTGAAATGACAAATTTAACAAGCGTTGAAAATTTCATTGAGTTTTGTTCATAAATAAAGATTTTGTCATATATTACATATTTGTTTAATTTCTAAAACTATGATTTATATCAAAATTTTAATAGGGTCGCAGATAGCTACAACAATTTAGTCCATATTTATCCCTTAATATCTTTTTTAGTTAGATATGGAAATTCTCGATTCTTTACAAAAAATTTCAAGCAAATATCTCAATTACATTCAAAAATATGTTCATTTAAACCTGTATCCTTTAATTTCATATTTTTCATATTTTAGTATTAAATATGACAGAACATATTTATATATTATATTTACCTATTTTCTATTTGTTTGCTTATCCTTATAATTGAAAGGTCCTATTATGCTTAAATTTTCAGAAATTTATAACTATTTTTTACCTAAATTTTTTCGACAGAAAGGTAATGATAATTTCGATTCATTCACTAATAAGAAATATCAATGACTGAATTACAGGTTATAGTAATATAGTCCTAAATGTTAATAGGTAGACAATTCGTAATTTTTTACTTTGGAATACCTGTATCGGAAATGACAAGAATTGGTATATAAGTAAACTTCTCAGATTTTAAGTACCATATTTAATAAATCTACAATGAAGATTACATTAAAGTACGAAGAGTTGTGTTCCGTTTTATGGAGTGTATCTTCAAAAGGGCCAGAAAGAATTGAAGACATTTCAAATTATATAAAAACTACATATAGTAGAAAAGTAGACAAAACAGGCATATCAAAAATTGAAAACTTTTTGATGTAAAAAGTAAGTCTGTGGATGGAAATCAAAAGAAATTTCGATTAAAATTTTGTAGTTGGATGGAAACTACTACGGAAATCTCAACTTACAACACATCAACAGGAGCGCCTTGCAAGTCATACGAAGACTTATGTTCAAGGTCAAAAAAAAAGAGGGTCACACAAAAATTTTTTTCAATCTCAAATGAGGAAATTGCAGATACATTTAACGAAATGCTGAAATAGGAAAACCAACCTATGGATGCCGTACATATTGCAACTATTCTTCCTAATGCATCACCAAAACGACTTAAGCGAATTGTGGAAAGTATACCAACTCCAACATCACAATCAAATTTTACTGAAGAGGAAGCAATAGCGCTTATGTTGGAACTGGGTCTCAGTCGAAATAAGTAACAAATATTAAGGAAAGCTCTGCATGAAAAAGGACACAATATATTACCATCATACAAGGCGATCCAGGAAAAAAACAAACTATCCTACCATCACCTATTGCTGTTAATGATGTGGAAGCTTGTATTGATATATCATCTTTGCTCGAAAACACAGCATCAAGAATTGTGTCAGACTTTTCAGAAGACCAACTAAGGAAAATTCATAACTGTGATGTTGTCTTAATGTGTAAGTGGGGATGTGACGGTTTATCAGCACTTCCAGAATACAAACAAGCTTGTGGAAGTCGGACATTAGCAGACTACAAAAGTGTATTTATGTCATCATTAGTGCCATTACGAATTCGTTCATATTGCCTTAATCCATCATCGTCAAGCATCGGAAATTCATTTGAAGATATATGGATCAATACAACTCCGGGTTCAAAAAATTTTTGTAGACCCATTGGATTTGAATATATAAAGGAGTCAAAGAAAACAACAAAAGATTTAGTGGAATATTTAAAAGATGAAATAAATGCACTGGAGCAAATAAAAATAAAGGAATTCTCTATTGACGTATTATATCAGCTAAGCTTAACAATGATTGATGGAAAGGTCAGCAATGCCATAACAGAAACTTCTTCCTTCTGGAGATGCTCAATATGTAATGAGAAAAAGTCGCAATTCTCAAATATAAACAAAAGCAGAAGTATTAATGAAGAAGTCCTGTCTTTCGGAATTTCACCAATTCATGCCAGAATACGATTTTTGGATTACTTTTTACACATAGCATACGACCTCAAATATAGAAGTGTGCCAGAGAATCTTACTAAATCAACAAAAAATAATGAAGAATTGAAAGAACTGAGAGCTGCGGAAAAAAGCAGAATCCAAGAAGAATTTAAAGTTCAGATGGGATTAAACATCGACAAACCACTTCTAAATTGCGGTAGTACAAATGACGGTAATACGGCGAGAAGGTTTTTTCGTGATTTTGAAATTACTTCGAAAATAACTGGAATCGACAA